AGACTCAAGTCATACCTGACTGATTCTTCTCTTATAAAGTTAACAAATTTTGGGGAAAAAAAATCAAAGATGCTTTTAAGTATGTCATCTTTCAAGGTTTAAGTAATCATACATACTTACTTTCAGGAAGAGCAAACCTGTTCAAAATGTCTATTTGTTTTGAGTAAAAGAGTTTCAGATTTTATAAGAAGTTTCTGAACATTTTTTTCCAGTTTTGATTTTTAAAATACCTCCAAAGCCATTAGGAGATCTATTTAGATCCAACATAGGCTGTGACAATGTTTCCTTTGAGTATTCCAAAGAGTGATAGTGTATTTGAAGAATCCAAATGGCTAGGAATGCAAACAAAGCCGTGATAGTTTATGCTGTGTGGTCACTGTGCAGAAGCAAGGATTGAATGAATAGCTATTGTACTGTTAGAACTGTTGTATCAGCTCTGGAACTTTCGTTGATGGAAACATACTGTTTTCTAATCTCTGCTTGGTGAATTTTTAAGTTCCAGTAAGATTTGCTGGTTAATAAGCCAGTCGGTGTTCAAGGCATTTCTGGCTACTGGTTTTGCATTAATCCATAGTTTTTACTGATAAACTACCCAGACTAGAGCAGAGTAGTCTGTTAGGTGCTGCTTAAGACCAGAAAAGAGATACTGCCATTTAGGAGCTTAGATTCTGATGCCAGACTGCCTTGCTTCAATTCCTGGCTCTGTCACTTACTGGCTGGGTAACTTTGGACAGGTTGCTTGACCTTTCTGTGCATCCATTTCTTCATTTATAAAATGGGAATAATAATAAAAACTACCTCAAAGGCTTGTGTGATGATGAAATGACTTGATACAAATAAAAAGCTTAAAACAGTTGCTGGCATTTAAAAGCATCAATAGCTATTATTAAGTTGTAAAAAGTTTCATTTTAATGGAGTGGTAGTTAGGTGAGTTATTCATAGAAACAAAACAATTGCCCACAGAGAAAACAATTTTGACTAGTATTTAGAGCTGGGTTCTGTATCCTAGTTCTCCTGCTGCTTTGTTACATCTTACGTCCTGTCTGATAAGTGAATATCACAATACTTTCCCCAGTGCTTCCCAGCTTAATAAGAAGAACCAAATGACATAATGTGCACATCCTACATGAAGTCTGCCCAAAATTTTTAGCCAAAATTAATTGTTCTTCCTTGGGCATCCGCTGTGTTGTTGGCTTGTATTTTAGTCATGATACTTAACATGCTTAGTCTTGTGCTATAGTTAATGTTTATGTGTGTCTTTCTCCAACTAGATAAGGTTTTGGTGGTGCAGACACAGTGTTATTCACTTTTAAATAAATCATCCAGCATTGTGACTTGAATATGATAGACATGTAATAAGTATTTATTAAAAAGGGCTCTGGCAAGTATAGCTTGCCAAATAAAAAGAATTATTATTACTACTCCTACTGTTATTATAACTACTGCTATATGTGACTCTACAGGGTATAATTACATGGGTTGTTGGTATGAATTTGAGTAGCAGAGTTGGGTCAGGTTTGGATGGAGTAACCCACATAGGGATTATTTACATAAATTTTGGCTTCATGGATTTTTGTTTACTCTCTACATTATCCTCTTACATTAAAATACACACATTAGGTACAGCATGTATTTTTCTAGCTTTTAATTGGGTCAGATATAAAGTAATCAATTATTATGGGATCTGAAAAAAGCATTCTAATCTTTCCATGTTGTTACCATAGGACAAGTGGGGCTTATGGAAATAACTAATTTGGCTCTTGTCTAAATTACAGCTAGAACTGGGGGATTTATATTACTATATATTCTTTAAAAAAATTTCCATGTCCCTTTGCCAGGTGCTCAACACCATGCTAGCACTGCAACAAGGGCAGTGGGGACCCACAGTGTTCAAGTCTATTCTTTATGGATAAATATGAATCTCCAATCAGAGTAAAAAAAATCAAACTTCATAGTTTGCCCCATGAACTTGAAAACACAAGGATCTTTGATCTTCATTTAACACATTTGGTGATTTTCTTTTCTTGCAGTAATTGGATCTATCAACTTGAACCAATGTAGTGCTCTTATTAGGGTATGTCCACAGCACTGTTGGAAAATCTATGTTTGAAACATTTAGGGCTTACTCCTATAGAAATCTTACTCTGAGACAAAGATTTGAGAAGACTGGTCAGTCCATGAGAAACTGCTGAGAACTATGGTTATTTTCATGACTGAACTTGGGCGAGTAACCCAACCCTGTTAGTTCATCTGTAGACGTGTGACAACAAGAGGCTATTCCTAGATTTCCTTGGAGAATTAGATTTACAAACTCAAGAGGAAGCTCTGCTGCCTTTGCAGTTCTTGGTTGGATCAGTTTGATGTCTGTAGATTTTATTAGAGGTATATGTGAAAAACTATAAATCAGAATAAGTTATTTCTCTCTTAAAATTCACTAACACGACCTAGTGACCATAGTTCTGAAGTAGAAGGAATGAGAAGGACTGGAAAAACGGGCTTTCCTTTATCTGCTTTTGATTGTGTGGTATGGATGTCTCTCATCAATTTATGGCATCTCAAATGTATCCTTAAAACATAACATTTTTAATGAGACACGTAATTTCATTTTTCATATCTTTGTAAATCTCAGACATCACCTTACATGTTTCATTTAAAATAAAAATATATGAAAGTTGAACAACTAGGCATGCAATTTTTTCCAAAACACAAAGCTTACAAATTTGCATCAAAATAAACAATCAAGACTGCTTAATTAAAACCTTGACACCATCAACCTTTTAATTATGTGTTAAAGAGACAGGCATCCTGGGGATACCAACTTAAAATTAGTGTGCATTTTGAGTGTCTCTGGTGTGTGAACATGTGTAATTCACAGAAGAGAGATTAAAAAGAGGTGTTTTCATAGAAAGGAAAGAAATGACTTCAAAGTTCTCTATGAATCAATTCACACTTTTAAAACAGGAAGAGGGCAAATTTGCGTTTTCAGAGGAAAAATGCAGAATAGAAATTGAGGACAGAATGTTTGCTCTCGGTTCTATGTCTAAATTTCAATGTATCCTTTCTAAACGACGAAGATTTTTTGTAGTGACTGTTACTTAGAAAGCACAGTGCTAAAGCTCGACTACTGATTGCTTGGATGTATTCTATAGACATACCAAGTAAGTGGGGGAGGAGCGGGATGTTTATTTCTCTCCTCTGGAATATATAAATTTTGCAGTGAAAGGACTGCTTTTCTTTACATCTTAATTCTTGTTGTCTTCATTATTCCGTGCCCTCTCCCGATTTCAGCTGCGAATGTGGAACCCAGCGGCCCTTTGTTCTCATTGTGCCTGTTGTCTCCCTTTGTGTTGCAGGGGTACTGCTACCGCAACTGGCACTGAGCATGCGGAAAATCCTTCAGTAGATTCTTTACTTAGGACTTTCAGTCGTATTATTCCATTTCTCCAGGTTTTAGTAACAACCAGACTATCCAGAAGATAGACCGAAATGTGGAAAGGTGATGGGTGAAACAAGTGGTTAGGTGGTGGTCTGCAAAGCTGGGACGCCAGACAGGAAGGTGCAGGCTAGTCATCGCACATACTTACCTAATTTATGGAAGCCCTCACTAAGCAAGTTAAATGCAGGATACCCACCCTACCCACAGAAGCTAGAGAGAGAGACTGAGACTAACAAGACGTACGTGTTTCTGAGCAGGATGGCACAGAGCCTTATCAAAACCCAACAAATACAATGTGCTGGCAGCTCCAGAAGGATGTGGTGCATTGTCACAAAGATTGGCATGTTAAGTCCCTGAACAGGGACCTTCACTAGATAGTGTATCATGTGAGGATGAGAACCAGTTGTGTGGACTTTTCTAATAAATAAAATCACAGGCTTATATCTGTGTTAAACACTCGAAATGCTAAGTCAACAATACTAATTGAATGAAACTTGATTCTTCTGACTGAAAGTCCCTTTCTCTGCACCCTCTCCCCCAACCAAAGTAGATTTACAGTGGTTTCCAAAAGATGTAAGAAACACCAGGTTTGGTGGCCAGATCAGGAATAGTAGGATGGAGTTTTGAGGTTTTCTGTTTTTCTCCCACCGCCAAGTCTGACCTAATAGCTTGTAAATTATTTAACAGATGCAACACTACACGGTTTTACTCATGTTTCTCCCATAATGATTTTTTTCCTGTTTTGTTTATTGCCTGCATGACTCTCTTAGAATGGTGTCTGGCACACAGGTGCTCAAAGATATTTTGTTTAATGAATCTATGTTCTTGTTTTATTGTGGCAAGCATCGGTGGTAAAAGAATCTATGTTTTTGTTTTATTGTGGCAAGCATCGGTGGTAAAAAATTGCATGCCATTTTAGAATAAACTGAAGAGCCTTTGGCTCTCGAGCAGATGGTCACTCTCCCTCGCTTAGAGGGATTTCTTTCTCCTCGGCCTCCCCTTTCCCACTCTTTTGTTTCTTTATTACCAATTAATGGATTAATAGCATCGTCTCAAAGTCTTTCTGTTTTACTTTTCGGTTCTTAGGATAAGGTTCCCTGGCCTTTTGGTTCTCTATAGGTTTCATTAGCGAGTGACTTAGAGGGTCGTTAAGCACAAACGCTCTGGGGAGGCAGCAAACGAACGGGCGACAGCACTCCTGCAGGGCAGGCACCTGCTGCGGCGTTTTTGGAACCCCGCCCCTGGCTCGGAGATCCGCGCGGTGCGCTCTCAGCAGCTGCGGAAGGAAGGGCCCGTGGCGGGAAAGTCAGGCCAGGCCCAATCAGGCACCTGGGATCGGACGACGCGGGCGGGGGTGCTGACAAGGACCCCAGCCCCGTCGCCGGCGGCCCTTCCGGAGCTCCCTCCTCCGGGCCCCGCCCACCGGACGCCCGCGCCCCGCCCTGGTGCCGCGGCTAAAACCCGGAGCCGCCGCGGCCCCCAGGGGACTGGAGGTGCGCTCTGAGCATGTGCAGAGCCGCGCGGTGGCTGATGCCTCGGCCGGAGGCTGGGGCCCGGTGCTGATGCGAGTAGCCGGTCGGCCTCAGCCCCAGCGTAGTCGGCACGCCCGCCCCTTGGCCGGGGCGGCAGGAAAGGAGCCGTAGCCCCGCGCGGCCGCACGAACGGCGCGGCGGCGCGCACCCCCTGGCAGCCGCGGCGCCCTTGGGGCCCACGATGATGGCGGAGCAGGTGAAATGCGCCTCGGCGGGGGGCGGCTCCGGAGCGGGCTCCGGGCCGGTGGTGAATGCGGAGCTGGAGGTGAAGAAGCTGCAGGAGTTGGTGCGCAAGCTGGAGAAGCAGAACGAGCAGCTGCGGAGCCGGGCGGCCAGCGCGGCCACCGCCCCGCACCTGCTGCTCCTGCCGCCGCCGCCGCCCGCCGCGCCGCCCCCCGCCGGGGCCTGCAGCCCGCTGGGACCGCGGAGCCCCCCGGCCGCCGCCTCCGCCTCGGGGGCCCTGGGGCTCGGGCTGGCTTTGGGCGGCGGCAGCGGGAGCGGTGGCTCCAGCCCCGCGTTCCCGGGTACCTACTGCCTGCCCAGCCCGGCGCCCTCCCTGCTCTGCAGCCTGGCGCAGCCCTCCGAGGCGCCCTTCGTCTACTTCAAGCCGGCGGCGGGCTTCTTCGGCGCGGGCGGCGGCGGGCCAGAGCCGGGGAGCCCGGGGACCCTGCCGGGGGAAGTCCCCGCGCCGCCCCCCACGCTGCTGGACGAGGTGGAGCCGCTGGACCTGGAGAGCGCGGCCTCCTGGCGGGACGAGGACGACTACACCTGGTATTACTGAGCTCCGCTCCCGGTGCCAGCACCCTGGCCTCAGTGGCCCCGGGCACGGCGGGGGGCGGAGGGGGGGCGCGGGCCGGAAGGGGGAGACCTCACCGCTGCCCCCGGACGGGGTGGGCGCGCAGGTGCCGAGTCGGGCGATGAGCAGAGGCTTTTCACGAGGGCGGAGCCCAGTCTTAGAACTCAGGCCAGCCCTGCTGGGGATGAGCTGGACCCTCCATCCGCCTGTATTCTGCTCTCTGCTGGTGATTGGGTCCCAAGCTTCTTGTTAGCATTCGTTGAAAAATCCCTGAGGTCTTGTCTTTTTGTTACTCAGTCCTGTTCTTTTACCAGCCTTTTTTGGGGAGTGACGAGGGATGGGTCGGGTTGGCCTCCGTCCGAGGCTGTTACTGTTCTTCCCCACGAACGCCGGGCTGGGTGTGCGTGTTGGCCGCCTTCCCGTGGCAGCCCCAGCCGCCCAGTGATGGGTCCCTCCGTAGAGCTCCGTTCTTGCAGTTGGAGTTGGGCGCTCGTGTGTTCTCGTTCTCTGCTAGCTTCTCATTTCAGAGACTGACTGGCTTTTCTAAATGTGCAGACCCCACTGCCTTTCCTATCAGTAATGATGTCAGAAATGACGGTTTTTCAGGGAATGGAGTAGGCACCTGGAAGGCAGTCTGTTATTACCTAGAAACCAAGGCGCTTTCTATAATTTTTAAAATTAGCGATTTAAGAAAAGCTAGATTAGAGAAATGTATTATTTTAAGGCGATTATCAGAAAGCTTGAGGCTGGCAGTATTCATCCCGTTGAAATATGGTGCGCCCTTTCCACTTTCCATCAATGAGTGACTTTTGGGAGTTCTCATTCCTTTATTTACCACCTGATCATGGAGTGACAGTCATTTCATGACTGCTTTTGGTTGGTTCAGACGCCTTAGTCGCTACAGGTAGTGGGATTATGGTCAGATACAGAGAAGCTTCAGGTAAGGTGAAACTTAGGTTCACGCAGGGAAAATGAGCAACACTCACCTCCGCATAGCAGTGGCGAAGAATATCTTCGTACTTTTATCCTGGGCCCTTTTATTTAGGGCCCTTTCTGTTTTTGCAAGCTGGATTTTCCTAGCACTTTTTTTTGTGTTCTATGCTCTGTGCACAGGAAGCAATGGGAAATGGAAAACCTTATTGGTTTCCTATTGGGCACCGTGGTGGTCCTTTTCCGTTACAGAGCTCTGACTGTATAAAGTACATTAACTGATTTGTTTGATTTGGAGAACCAAATATATGGAGTTACAATAAGGAATATTCATCATCATCCTCTCAGTACTTTTCTGCAGCTGTTCCAGTAGGTCCAGTAAAAATCAGAATAACTTACCACTTTCTGGAACTTTAAGCCATTCTCTAGAAATCATACCTTTATTTTTTGTGAAGCCCAGGCTGTATTGGAATCCGTTTCAGCCTGAATGTGATACCAGAAAAATGCTGTCATGATGATTCTTTTTTTAATTATTTTGTTATCATTTATCTACAATTACATGAAGAACATGTTTACTAGGGTCCCTCCTGCACCAAGTCCTCCCCACAAACCCCATCAGTCACTGTCCAGTCATGATGATTCTTAAGTTATTACTGGTAACTATCAGCCCTTATGCCACTTCCAAGTTATTTTAGGTTGGTGTAGTCTCTATTTGGCCTTCTGGAGATAAGTTTCCTTCTGCTATCTAAGGCCTTGTTTGTATTTTTGGTGGGTATCAATTTCTACTTTAAAAATATTAGCATTTTAAAATGTGTTATGGTATGCCTACTAGTTTATAAGTGTATTAGATTGATGATAGTATATACTTAACTAATGTAATTGTAATATTTTCTTCTACTGAATGGACGTCTGCCATATTTAGTTATCCACCTATTGCTAGTATTTTGATATATAGGCTTTTTGTAGCTTGTTTTTTGTCAAAATAGTATTGAAATAACTTAAAAAAATCACCTACTTAGTAGGATTAACCTGTTAACACTTAAAATGGCATGAAGCAAATCAAATTGTAGCAGGTTCTACTAATTTCACTCAATAGTATAGGGTGATTGAAAGAATGTCTTTACACTTTGCAGATGTTTCTGCAGACAAATGGCACACTGTTTATAGAGTATCTTCCTCAAAGCAAACCTAAAATTAGAATCCCAGGTGGAAAAACAGGGAGAGGTCATTGATCTGGTGGGATGGACTAAACATGTTTTTAAGGTCACCTGATTTACAGAAAGAAAACTTTCTATCATAGCATTTTACACATTAAGATATTTTTGTATTGCAGTATTCTGACCTGATGAACAAATAATCAACAGGGCTTAATTTTCAAAATTTAACCCACTTGTTAAGCTTGCACAGCTCTCTAAAGTTCCTTTATTACTGTAAACTATGTCCCTGTCCTGTGGTTTCACAAATAGGCTGCTGCTTTTCACTTGGGTTCCCCAGTGTTTGCAGGAAGGCAACTTATTTTTACCTTTTTATTAAGAAATAGGTGTAGTAGATAATCTGTACTTGGTTATTTAAAAAATATTAAAGATAAAAATTTTGTCTTTTTTTTACAATGAAAAGATAAATATGGGAGTTAACAATGACCTCTCTATTCCCCTTTTTCTTTATTTAATCCCTTATCGCTAATTATTTCTCCACTCTGCTCATCCTCAATTCACTGCATGACTCAGAGTTAGCCCTGTTAATACTGATCCTTCAAGATAAAAACATAATTATACAGATCAATAGACAAATGTATACGCATCAATTTTTTTACACTTACCTTTCATTAAACATATCTTGGACATCATTGTCTTCCAATAGCAATTGTATCATCAACAGTAACTTGGTCCTTAATATTGTTATTTTAACTATGTCATCTACGATTTTACATGCATTTTTATCATACTTCTATCCTAATAAAATTAGAAATTAGATACTAGAAATTTATTTAGAATAGTACTTCTGCTAAGATGTCCTATTCTCAAGAAAGAAAGTTCACAAATGTATGTTAATCATCAAACATGCTGGAATTTCTTTCATGTAAGTCCATTTTTTCTAATAAAATCTTAAGTGTATAATTTTTCACAACCTGGGCAAGATTTGACCCAAGAATTACGTGTAAAAGGAAAACTGAATTGTAGAATCAGTACTTGCTTGATGATAGTTCTTTAGTTAATGATCCAATCTTGTATCTAATGTCTTTTTTCCAAACAACTATTAACTTATAAGTGTCTTCTATTTATTAAAAACCCCTAAACTTTGATGAGAAGAAAGATGTTTCATTTTGATGAATACCTTTGAAAATGAGATTTGTTCAAGTACTTATCTCGGCTGAACTTAAAGTATATAGTATTGCCTTAAATACAGCCTGATTATCTTATCACAGTGCTGCTAACATTAAATGTCTCAGAAAATTGAAGTTGATTATTGAGGTTCCAGAACTTTAATTCTTAAGTCAATTATAATCCCATAGTACAACTTTACATCCTGCTTTATTGATTGTTCAGTTATCTGACTACCAGCTGGCCAGCCTTAGCTCTTCAGAACACCATAGACTAGAGAGTGAAGGGGAGAAACTCAGAAACATAAAATGCTCAAAAGGATTAAAATCGTGATGCATACATGGGGCATGGTGTGACTGGACGATTTGCTGGTCTGTGCAGAGGATGTTTAGAATCTTTGCCTCAGTGTCACCAGGCTGAGAAGTGCCAGGGTACAAGCAGAGGAAGTTAGATGGCTAAGTGGCAGTGGAAGTAGGTAAACCATGAATTGCATGCTGGACCTTCCTGTGGCCTATTTCAGTGTTGAGGGATTGAAGCTCCAAAGTGAGATGAGTTATGTTTTTCCAGTTTTTTACTGAAAGAATGAAGACCAAAACCCAGATTGTTTACATAGATTCAGAAGTGTTTACACCATTGATATTTTTTCCTGAGTTTGGCTGTGAACCATTAGTGGATTATAGAATCCATTTAGTGAATTGAACAGAGTTTTATTTTTTTTAAATGCAAAGGAATATAAAATCAGTGCATTGTATCTTACCAACTTATTTTGATTTAAATTATTTTTTGTACATGGGTGTGTCCTGGTTGAAATAGTAAATGTATTTGTTCATTATGGTCAAAGTTAGAAAAACTCCAGTGTATACAGTTTGAAACAAAATGGTCTTGGAGAAAACGGGAAAGCACAGCTCTCTGAAGATAGTGTAACGCTACAGAAAGTCAGCTCTTGCACATCTCAACCAGGAAGGTAAGTCTGTATTCAGAAAATGCCAAGATAAAAATATACCAGCTATTATAAAATATAGTCATGTAAGGAGGCCTTTATTTTAGTAGAGTGGCAATTAGCAGAATATTGAGACTTGTGTAACAAGGATGTGGCAGGGATTTTAAACTTGCCAACTGGCAAGGACAGGAGAAGAGGTCATCATTGTACAAGGGAAAAATGGTGATATGTACAAATCAAGGCAAATTTAATGAATGAGATGTTCATCTTCTATGTGTACAGCCAAGACCCTGTACAGCTGGCTAAAATCATTGCCAATTCTTCAAAGCTGCTGAACACCTTGTACTATACATATGGTACAGCTAAATTACACCACCTGAACTTTTTTTTTTTGCATAATTGATTTTCAGTGAGGAGACCAGAGGGTGCCTCACTTTCTGACAATGCTAATTGAAAACAGCAGTGTCTTCAAGAAGCAAATGGAGTTGAAGTATGTCTTTTAAATGAGCAACTTGGCAACACTGCAGCAGGACACTGAAATACAAGTTTAGATCTAACTCTGGAGGGATCTGGAGAGTCTGCTATAGTATAGTAACTGAAATTTGGCTTTCATGTATCCTTTTGATAGCATAGTAATCGTAAGCTTCTTTCACAAGCTTCTTTTGCAATGGCTGAGCAGTCTGATACTAGCAGGTGTGAGTGAATTGAGCATGGTTTAGTATAAGTAAACATGGATTGTGCTTATCAGTACTGATGTTTTAGCTTTCCTTAAAATAAAACTTGTGATTGAAAGCTCTTAAAATTACCTCTCTGGAAATTGCCATATCTTACCTTTTAGTGACAGATCTAAAATAGTGAATACATGAATGAATGACTATTGTATTATTTGTTTTTGTATTTGCAGAATGATGACTTTACAACCAAACATTTACTTAAAAATAACAGATAATTTTTCTTGACAGTTGTAATACTTCATTTGAAGCATTTAGGGTTATTATGGTGGGCTTTGTATTACTTCTAATACCTCCCAGTGTTAGCACATATAAGACAGGTGGTCCAGAAAGTGAAATGTATGGTAAAGAAGAGATTTAATGAGATGGAAAATAGTTTCTAGTCATGTGTTTTGAAGTTGTTGAAGAAAAGTTAAAATTAGGGCGTGGCATTTCAAATGATAGCTTTTCTAATATTGGAGGAATTTTCAAGTTTTAGACTAAGCCTTTAAGATATTCTTGCCAGACTCTAATATACCATCAATTATAATATGGAAGTGGAAAAAGTAGTCTGTAAGTCAGTAGGAGGTATGTTGTATTAATAGCAAAACGATGTTGCAAGTGTTGCTGGC